TCTCTCTCTCTCTCTCTCTCTCTCTCTCTCTCTCTCTCTCTCTCTCTCTCTCTCTCTTGGGCCCTGTCTTTATTTTTATTTTTTATTTTTTTTTTATTATCGCGCACATAGCGCACCTCCCTCAGCGCGCGGACCGCACGGCGCACAGTGTGCGCGCTGCCATTCGAGCGCACAGCGCAGTGCGCCCTGCCCCGCACCGCACTGCGCACTTGTGCGCCGCAACTATGATCTGGGTGTACATTGCTGTTGACGCTTTGCTGACGCTCCGTTGTCCATTCGAGTCCTTTTCATCACTTTGCGGATCCTTGGCTCCATATACATTGCTCGATTGCGCATGTATCAGAGGAGGAGGAGGAGGAGGAGAAGGGACGAGGAGGGCGGAGGGAGGAGGAGGAGGAGGAAGGAGGAAAGAGGAGGAGGAAGGAGGAGAAGGAAGGAGGAGGAGGAGGAAGGAGGAGGAAAAGGACGAGGACGAGGAGGAAGAAAAAAAAACTAAAAAAATTGAGGAAAAAATGAAATTATTAAATTGACAGATTTTTTAACTACCCCTCCCACATTGCCGAGCTCTCCCCTCCGCTTCTCTCACCTCAACGCCTTTCACCGTCAACACAGTCTCTCGTACAGGCGCCAACATGGATTCTGCAACTCCTACATCGAGTAATTCCTGCAAGCTAAGAAAACATGAACAGGTGTTATGAAGTCATACGGAGTAATCAGCTAGGCTACCAGAGTGGCCCGGGGCAAGTTGCCCGGCCGGGAAAAAAAAAAAAAAAAAAAAAAGTTAAATAACATTTTTTATTTCATTTTTTATTTCAAAATATTTTTCTTTTTTTTTTTCAAATTTGGTAAAGAACTTCGATGTGACCCTGAGGCAAAAGTTGTTCATTTTGCTTTCGTGCATCACTGTAATGAACCCAGTCTCGTCACACAATCATGTCGTACAATAGCAATGCCGTGCAATGTCGTGCAATGTCGTGCAATGTCGTGAAATAATCATTCCAACAAAGTACATGAGCCCTCAGTTCAGCATGTGAAGTGTCCAGCTCAATAGTACCCAGATTAGAGCAGAGAGGAGAGGGGGGGGGGGGAAGGAGATAAGACAGAGGGAGGGAGAAGAATGCAGCAATCAGTCCCACTTCTCCTCCACGCCCCCACCTCTGCCCCGTCAGCAATCTGAACACTATACAACACGTGGATGATGTAACGCGGCCCCTCGCAGATCAGTGAACCTCTGGCAGCGAGCAGAATCAGCAGCAGCGTTCCACCAGGTAAGACCAGATACGCACTCACGACCTCACACTCCACCCACACTCTCTCTCCCTCACTATCTCGCCGTCGACTATCTCGCCGTCGACTATCCTTGCAGCAATGGCTGCCTTTCTCTCCTATACTCCAGTATCTGGCTGGCGCGCACGAAACAGCATGGAGCTAGCACCCACTCCTCGAGTCTCACGTACAGCGCCGAAGCCACAAGCAACTCGCAAGACTGAATGCCCAAGCAGTGGCGAGGTGAACCTTATGTAGTGTCGACTCGCGCTGTCCCGGTCAGCGTCTATCCACATGAGGCCCCGGATTCTCCCGAATGTCGACGCCTCAGATTCTATTTGTCCCAGTTTTGGTCTGGACTCCTCGAGGCCTGAATCTTCCGGAACCTGCAGACCACTGTTAGATCATTCCAGATCGACGGCCAGGAAATCTTATGTGTTGACTTTGACTTCTCGGATCTGGGCCTGAGTCCACGAGCTGACTGTAGACTTTTCCGTCAACTGTCGGTCTGGGGCCATTTCTAAGGCCTGTTTGACCCCTCTTTTTCCAAGCCTGCCCGTTCGTGCTTGTCTGCGGGCGCGACAAGAGCCCAGCGGCTCAATTTGGCAGACGAGTTGCAGCAATCACAAAGATTTTTTTTTTTTTTTTTTTTTTTTTTTTTTTGCTGGGCCCTTCGCTGGTCCTCGCTCGCCCGGGCCACCCGGTCGAACAAGGTGACCCGGGCGGCCCAGCTGGTAGCCCAGATAATCAGCGGAAAAAAAAAACAAAAAAAAAAACAAAACGAGATCGATTTTAAATCGCAGAAAGTTCACTAACCGTGAGAAAGTAAAATCCAATACAAAGTATTATAAACAACCGAATGAAGTCAAGAGTTACGAGCTAAAAGTCCAAAATGCACAAGAACGACACGCATAAATCAACAAGTGGTTCCCCCCCAACACACACACACACACCAAAAAAAAAAAAAAAACAGCAGGCTTAATTCAGTATGGCACACCATGAACTGATGAAATCCAGAATCAAGTTCGAATCCAGTTATATATAAAAAATTGAAAAAAAAAACAGCAACAAAACAACAATGGTTGAGATTCTTGAGAATACGATTGTTTGCTGCACTCAAAAAGGGAGTGAGATGATTACTATCATGATATCATCAGACTCTCCAGAGCATGCATTCTGCCGTAACCTGGACATCAAAAGCATTGCACGATTCCTTTTTTTTTTTTTTTTTTTTTTTCCTGATCCCTCATGATTCTGTTGTGAGAAAAAAGTGCAAGGCAGAGAAAAACACACGTACAGGATGGTCCCGAGGGTCGATAGTTTGTATTAGTGTGTGAGAGCAAGTTGTTGAGCTGCAGCGACGCAGGGGTGGGGTGGATATAACGACTGGCATGGAGCCACTTTTGAACACCTTGTCATGGCAGCAGTAGTTAAGGCACCAGGCTGTTAAGCTTGAGATCGCCGGCTCTATTCCGTGCAAGGTCGGATCCAAGGACGAATACAAAATACATGCATACATTCTTGCAAGCTGGTTGGTGAGTTTGGACGGGCCGATACTTCAATTGGGGGAGAAATTCACTGAAGAGGAACACATACATACGATCTTGCACTCCGGGAAGTCAGATTGGATCAACATACCAGCAGACAGCCAGGCATCCAGCAGATCGGTGTGCGGCTTGGTCAGTCTGTCATTCAGTGCATGAGTAGGCCAGAAACCTCACCCAATTTCATCACTCTGTACAGCGGCAAGGACACCCATTGTGTGTGTGTGTGAGAGAGAGAGAGAGAGAATGAACAGAGAGGCAGACAGACAGACAGACAGAGAGAGAGAAAGAGAGAGAGAGAGAGACACAGAGACACAGAGAGAGAGAGAGAGAGAGAGAGAGAGAGAGAGAGAGAGAGAGAGACACAGAGACACAGAGAGAGAGAGAGAGAGAGAGAGAGAGAGAGAGAGAGATTTTCCCTCCTTAAAGCACCAGTCCCTTGAGAGCTATTTTGCTGTCTACTTATTCATCACCCTCTTCACGGCGCATGACATGATTGTGCACTTACCTTTGCCGACCAATTGAGTAGCTAGCTTTGATAATCATTCCACTGACAACCAAGCCAGCAAGGGGATCCAGCCATGGCTGCCCAAACATGGCACCTCCTGTCAATCATCAATGCCACACGCAGTAGCCAGTAGGAGTATCAGAAAAATATTAATTAGTAATCCTATTTTACTGATTTGTTCCTCCCAACGCCTCCGCCTCCCTACTCTTTATGTTTCCCAGTTTCTGTGATGCCACCCAACTTTTCCCTTCCCTCACCCATTCTATTCATCTATTCTCTTCTCCACTTAGCTTGTGCTATTCTCTCTCTCTCTCTCTCTCTCTCTCTCTCTCTCTCTCTCTCTCTCTCTCTCTCTCTCTCTCTCTCTCT